GTATTGGCGTGCTTCAAATTTATAGCCGTGACATGATCAAAATAATTTTGCAAGTATTTACATAATTAATTTAATTATTGTAAAATCCCAACAATATTTGAAAATAACCCTATAATACGCTCTTTAATTTTGTTTTTATCAAAGTTTGAGAGTTGAAGTACAATAGTAATATATGCCTTATTATGTTACCTACTTGTTATTTAAAAATGCATGTTCAGTAAGAAATTACCAGCTTTCATAAATTGGAAAATTTTGTTTGTGAGCTGTTGGATTTTCAATAATTATCATAATCAATCGACCATATCTAGCATCGGAAATCGTCAGAGCGATACAGTGCAACTGATATCCGTTGGGTGCTTTCTTTTTCTTTTACATTTTGATTTTGAGTTTGGTTCTCTATTTTTTATATATATTTTGATTTCCAGTTGTGTTCTCTCTTTTTTTTGGGAGCTTCAATTTTAGAGATCTGTTTTTTTACATTTTGATTTTCCATTGTTTTCTCTATTTATTTTTTGAGCTCCAGTTTCAAAAACCCGCTCAAAAGCATCTGGGCTCTAGACTTGAATTGTTGATTGTTTTTCTCAAAAGAAAGTCTTGGCCCTATTATTTCTTTTGACAGCTATTTTTTTTCCACTATAACATGTAATTATTTATTTTCCAATTTATGGTATTTCTCCTAGTTTTTCCTAAATTTTGTGTAGTTTTGTGTTTCTCTGTGTCATGTTTATTCTAGGGGTAATAACTTTTGAGATCATCCGAAGGATTGAGGTGTTCTTAATTTAATTTATTGACTATACTTCTATGAGCTTGGAAGTATCTAGAGGATTGTAACCAGGAAAGCAGAGCGTAGCTAGCTGGCTAGCTGTAGGCTGCATCTTCTCTTTGTTCCACGTGTCAGCATTTTGTAGGTCCATGTGGACTAATCAGGTAGGGGAAGACTGGCCAGCTTGAGAAGTTACTGTTATGGTTGTCAGCATTATTTTGTTATGTTGAGAAATGTATAACCATGAAACTGTATGTTTCTTACATTTGAGTGAATCTATTGTTTTTCTGTGGTAAACATCGTTATGCTAATCTAAGCTAGTTTTTTCCTCAGTAAGCATATGTCATATTTCTATCTTTTTGCCTGAATTTGTAGATGATAGTGGCCGTTCAGCAAAATGTGTGGATATGTGACCTTATGCTCAAATTATGCAGATATTGGGCAGTGGCATGTCAACAAAGATGTGGGAGGTCACAGTTGAGCATTCAAAAACCTGTATTCTCCCTGACAAGGTGCATTTGTACTATCCAGACAGCCTAAGCAAAACAGCAGTCGTGTTCAATGTTGTTGGAGAAGTGAGAGGGTTAATATCTGAGAAGTTTGTTTGTGCTGATGATCTTAGAGAAAAGGAGAAGGTATTCACAATTTTTTATTCGACTTAGTTAGTTATAGAAGGTTCTTGTATATTTCCCCTTCACCAGTTAGGATATGGACCATCTTTTTTTTACCTTAACTTTTGCTCTTTATAGGCTGAAGCATATGCAGCTGTGAAGCAAGCGTATGAAAATTGGAAGAATGTCTTCACCTGTGACAATGAAACACTTCTGGCAAATCCTTCACAGCTCCTTGATGTGAGAACTACGTCATTGCATGAAAATGACTATGACCAGTTTCCTACACAAGTTTCTACCGATGGTTTTGGTTTGAGCCAGTCAAGCATACCATCACCTGACATTTTCTCAATTGATCCCTCGAGTGCATTGGATCCTTGTCCATTGGAAACTGCAGAAAACAATGAAAATCAATATCAGTCAGAGTTACCCCCACTTGGTGGCCATGCACCACCGCAAGTATCACAGACAGTGGACAAGTTCTCAAATTCTTTGGTTTATGAGGATTGCACCAGTCACCCCTCATTCAGTGAAGATTACTATCGTTGTTCAGATCCATCTGTATCCTTTGACACACAAGACCTTGGAGCTGCATTGAAAGGCTTCATTGCAACGATATCTAAGCCCAAGGCGTATAGAGGATGGAGGACATTGTCTTATGTTATAGGATGGATATTCTACACCAAGAAGATTGTTGCTATGAAAAGAAATGAACATGGGAAATAACGTTTTCGTTCACATGTTTATTCCTGTGGTTGTTTAGTTAAACCGTGAAATATATATAAGCGGAGAAAAGGAAATCATGTACATACGAGTTTGGCAGTCTTGAAATCTTTTTGGGCACAGCTGGCACGCTCTGCTGGTTTATGAGCTACATCCAGCATTTTTTCAGCATGAGCATTCAGCATTGCCTGTAAATAATCAGATGAAGTTTTGTGAATATAATCCGTAAATATTTGTGGATGGTTATCTTCAGCTAGTTCTTTGAATTTTGGCGACAACATTGTTCTTGCAACATTAGTTCGCCTTTCAAGCAATAACATTTTGAAGGATGTGTCTCGGTTGATGGTGCCCCCACGAAAGGCGGGCGTTGATACGATTGTGCAGGGAAAAAAACGAGATGCCCGTGCCGTGGCAACCAAACGGGCGTGAAATCATTTTGGAGAAATATTTAACCATTTCGAGCTGTAATTTCACTATCTTGCTTATCTTTTCGTGCTATACGGATGTCAAAGAGATGCCCGTGCCGTGGCAACCAAACGGGCGTGCAATAATTTTGGAGACCATTTCGGAACCCTTTTTTTCCTCTACATATTAAAAATCCTTTCAGCTGTAATTTCACTATCTTGATTATCTTTTCGTGGTATACGGAGGCCAAACACAGGTCCTTTACAATTAAGGATGGCTCTCAAATTAGATTTTGTAAAACATATGGTTGGGTAATATACCCCTACGGGATCCGTACACTGCCTATATAATATTATTAGGCACAAACAAGAATTGATTTCGAAGCCTTCTATACATCCTCACTCAATTTTTTTCAAAGAGAAGGGGTCTGATTGGATCCAAATTAGTGGAGAGGAACAAGTTGTTGTGAATCACTAATATTGTGTTAACATTGGAGCAAGATGAACAACATAGGAGAAGGGGTCTACTTCCTCCTGATTGTGCATGTTGTGTTGCACTGCGGATCGACAGGGAGAACAGCTTTGCCGATGTTTTCGATCGAGCACCACAGCACAAGTATTACACCTTTGACTTCTCTAACGTGTGCCACCACGAACTATTGGAAATTAGCAACATCAACAACATCAAATTAATTTAATTAAATTTAACATTAAATATATGATAATATGTTTGTTTGTATTGAAAATGTTAGTATACTCCCTCCGTAAAAAAAAAAAACTCAACTTCTGGAGTTTAAATTTTGTCCCACAAAAAACCAACTTCTACCATCCTACCTACCCTCGACACTTAAAACGAGAAGTTTTATTCTTTCAATACTCTTTAACTATCTATCACCATTACTACTTTTTTTAATAATTTTTACTCCCCACTAATTTTGCATTGGGATGCTAGGATTTAATTTTATATGATACAGAGGGAGTATTTATCTACAAACTTGACCATAATTAAGAAAAAAAAAGCCAAACAATCTATAATATAAAATGGAGGGAGTAGTATATATACTGAACTGCCAATAGGATCACAAGCAGGTACAAGCAATTGCGGAGATAGAAAAGGTCAAATAACTGTCCATTGCTTTCCGTCGTGAAGCCCCCACCCTGAACACAACTAAACCACACTTTGCCGTGACGAGGCGATTACTGCACAGAACTTCTATTGGGCGAACAAACTTCGGAAGCCTTTAATTAAAGTTTAAAACTATACTCGGAGTATCAGGTATTCAGGAAGTCCCATTTCAGTGTCCAAACGAAAAAAAAAAGGAATTGCTCAAAAGAAACAGAAGGTAGCAGACGAGCCACGAGCCACGACCCACGAGAGATTCCGTTGCAGGATATTACAAGATAATCATACCGACGTCCATAATTGACGTGCTAGCTAGCTGTTCCGTGTTTCTCTCTGCTTCCAGCCTCAGAACTCAGACCACATAAAATGATTTCAAGAGCCAATCAGTGGGAATTGTCAACAGAAGCTGACGACAAGCAATCATTGAGAACAACCGCACAAATGTGCTTGCTTTCATCGAAGTGCAAGCTTAGGCTCAGCTTAGGCTCCCTTGATTCGAAGAAAATTTATAGAAATTTTAGAGCATTTCATTCCTATATAACTCTTTAAATCAAATGAATGAATTCTATAAAATTCCTATGGAATACCTAATGCCATGCAAGTTTTGGAGGGAAACTACCATGAGGTTTTACCTCATGGAAACTTTCCTTTGAGTCTTTGTCACTCCTCTAATTCCTACGTTTTTCCTATGGTCCAATCAAATGTTCATTTATGTGTTTTGCAATACTCTATTTTACACTTGCATTCATATTAAAATCCTACGTTTTTCCTATTCCTATATTTTCTCAATCCTGCTGCGTTTTTCCTATTCCTACATTTTCTCAATCCTGCGATTTAAAGGGACCTTAATGAATTGAACCCCGAGAAGTTGTGAATTAAGCCCAGGCATAAGGCAAAGACGTTTGAAGTGTTAGCATTGATTCCACAATAGAAGGGAGGATGCTAGTAAGGAGGAGGAGAATCTAAAAAAAAGGTGCTCGAGTATAAATTTGTTTCAACTGCTGCCTATAATATATACTTTATTTGTCATAAAATATAAAGAATTTTGAATGGATAGAACATATTCTAATATTACCTGTCCAGATTCATAATATTAGTATATGTACCATCGAGTCAAAATTCCTTATATTGGATAAATTTATCCAGATTCATAGTATTAGAATATGTTTTATCCAACCAAAATCCCTTAAATTTTGGGATGGAGGGAGTATTATTTCCAACCACTATAGGAGAATATATTCAGTCCCACTTTTACACTGGAACCAATGCTAGCACACTAGAGAGGAAGAAAGAAGATCTACTCAAAAAGCTTCTAGGTGCTATATTTTAGGACATATGGAGTGGCACATATATGATGTAACAAACTTAGCTTCTCTACACTAGACAGGACCTAAACTACCAATTCATCGACATATTTAAAAGTAACTGATGTAAAACAAGTTCTTCCTTGGAAGATTTGCTGAGCTGAAGATACTCAATGTTTTTCCCCTTAGCAGGCTCAACAAAAACCACATGAAAATGTACAAAATTGCAAGCTATGTTGATCATTTAGTACCAGTTGCTTCTGGAGATCAACCAGCTGGAACAGACGTTGACAGAAAGGGACTTGCTGATATCTTTTGCAAGACCAATCAACACAGGTAAGATTACAAAGTCATGTGCTGATAAATGCTCTTCATAATGAACAGAACTATCTCTAGAATTACCATGGCAATTATTGACAAAGAAGATACAGATCAACAATACCAAACACACGAATTACCATTCAGACTTCACAAGAATGCACAAATGGGGGGTAGCTGATGGCAACAGCCAATTCAAAGGTCGAGTAGCACCCATAAGCAAAACTCTCAATTTGATTTAAAGATCAAAGGATTCAACTTCTCCAAAAAGTTGTGAACTAAGCCCAGGTAAATTGTGAATTCACCAACTTACTTCAAAGTATTTGATGTCATAAATTTTCCTAAGAAGATTAGCTGTCCTGAGGATGCTACATGGCTTTCCCCCTTTTAGTCTCAAGAAAAGCACAATGGAAATGTAGAACTAAGCTGTAAATGATGTAAAAAGCTGTGAACTAAGCACAATTGCTTTTGGAGGTCAACTTGCTGCAACTGATGTTTGACAGAAAGGTACTTCCTTGTAAGTTATGTTTTCTCCAATTTACACTACTAATCAACATATGTAAGATTAGAAGCTATGTGATGATAGATGCTGATCTCAAGCATAGCATATACTGACAAAATTTACAGATCATCAATACCAAATAAAAGAATTACCAATTCATATATCAAGCAGTGCCCGTAAAGGACACAAATCAATTAGATCCAATGATCAAATAATTTAAACTAACAAATAATGATCTATAATTCATTCTCAACTTGATTAATTTTAATGGTTCTAATCATTTAAATGAGCAAATAATGATCCATAAAATTCATTCTCCACTTGATTAATTTTATTCGGTTCTAGTTTTTTGTAGAATACAGCATTTTACAACATGTAACCTTGAAAGCAATGTTTATAATGGAACTAAATTCGGGAGCAATTTGGATGAATGGCATAGAAAACAAGATGTGCAATAATATAAAAAACAATTGAACGCATCATGGGACAATCTTGAAAACCTTCATCTTTTCTATCCATGTGTTGAAGGAATTCACCGTGTTCCGGAAGCCAAGGAATCCATGTTCCTTGCTCTTGTTCATGCTATCCAAATGCTCGCTGCGGACGCCGAACACGGCATCAACAAACCACCAATTGGTGATCTCTTCAAGCTCGGTGTCCATGAGATCATTCTCTTTGACAATCTCTGCCCACACTGCCTCCTTCCCCGACATGGCATCTGCAAGCTTGAAGCTGCTCTCTTCTCCCTCGTAGCCAGACCATTCGACGCCGAATTGGTCTGCCAGCATCGGCCAGAGAAGTTTCCACTTGTAGAGATCCCCGTTGCTGCAATTAAATGCCTCATTCTTGGCGAATGGCTCAACGGCGGCCCAGATCTCGTGTTCAGCGATGAGATCCGCATCGGACGCGTCACTGAATCCCTCCCAGGCGACCCTGGATCCAGGCCATCGCAGCACAGCGCCCTCCTTGCGGCAGATGGCGGCATAAACGCACAGGCTGCCGACGACATTCATGGCGCTTCGGGGAGAGAATCCGAAGACGACGGTGGGGCGGTGCACGGACCAGCTGACGGCGCCGTCGCGGCGGGAGACCTCGTTGAAGAGGACGTCCTCCAGGTCGTAGTAGAAGTTGGGGCAATCGAGGCGGAGCATGTCCTCGGTGAAGGGCGGGTCCGGGGCGGCGATCTTGCCGATGACCTCGAATGGTCCGATGTAGTGCTTGCGGCCGGTCTGGAGGCAGACGTGGACGAGAGCGGGGCAGTTGGGGACGACGACGGAGAGGATGTTGCGGAGCATGGCGGAGTTCACCTCGCGGTTCTGGGCCTCCGTGGGGTGGGCGGACCAGGCGACGTAGAAGACGTGGGTGATGTCGGTGAGGGGCGTGAGGACCTCGGCAACGGCGGCGGAGTCGGCGAGGTCGAGGTGGAGGTGGGTGACGGCGGGGGAGGCCGGCGGGGACCAGGGAGGGAGCGGGCGGCGGGAGACGGCGTAGACCTTCCAGGGCCCGCCCGGGGTGTCCTGGAGCGGGAGGATGTCGAGGAGGGAGGTGCCGACGATGCCCGTGGAGCCGACGACGAGGGCGACGCTCTGGAAGGACGGCTCGGTGGCCGCCGCGTTCTCTTCCTGCCGCTTCTTCACTGCGCCTATGGCGCCCGCCCACCACCAGCTCATGGCGGCAGCGGCAGCGTACAAGCTAGAGGTCGGACGGATCGGCGGATTGCCGGTTGGGAAGGAGGAGAGCGGACGGACGAACGGGGGATATCGATCGGGAGAAGCCCAGCCCAGAGTAGTTTGTTTTGTTGTTGGAGGACCTGAGCCGAGCTGAGCTGGTAATGCGCGTCGTGTCGTGTAGTAAAGCAACGAGAAAGAGAGAAATAATGGGAGAGAGAGAGAAAAGATAAGGAAGAATAAAGAAAAAAAGAAAAAAAATGAAGGGTAGAATCGTACTTACACAGGTGTTTCTCTCTCCAATTCCTCCGGATATAATAAAATAATCCAACGGGTATCCATCAGCTAATTACCAGGTTTTTTTGGTGTCCTTTAGCAAATTCGTGTTCTTGCGATGTCCGTCGCCTAATTACACATTTTTTGGATATCCTGTAGTCAATTTTACCAATTTAGTAAATACATAAGAAATCCTGCTAAATTTTGGCAATATTATTATCTT